ACGGCCACCGCCGGCCGGCCCACGGGCTTTTCCCGCTCCACTGCCAGAGCACTGAATGGCAACGAGAGCCCCAGCCGAAACCGGGAATTGTGGGGTGCGCGGGGAGAAGGGGCCGCGGTCCCAGCCCAGCAGGAACAGGGCTGTGCTCTGATCCACTCCGGGTTTAGGAATCCGTTGGCTGTGGCTGCACCGCGGGAAGGGATGGAGAAGGCAGGTTTGCAGTTTGGAGCGTCAAAATGAGGCCAAGTATCAAAAATTCACTTTTTAGTAATGGTTTCCATATGAAAACAAAGTCCTTGTGTTGTGTGAGTCACTCACTGTCCATCCTCTGACACCTCAGAGATTCTGTCTATGGATTTCAGGAGATCAGCGACGAGCTGCAGGGATTCTGCTCCAGAGAGCAGCTGCCTGGAATGGGAGAGATGCAGTGTTAGCTGTGGGGATGGGCAGCCAGGCAGTTTTGGGAGTTTTCCCACATTCTGTGATTTATCAAGCAGCATTTTATCAGGACTGGAAACTCAGAAACTCCAACTTTCCACCTATTTTTACTACCTACACTTGGAGAAAAACGCATCACAGGTAAGAACATGGAGTAGCTCCTCTGGCACACAACACAAACCCCTGGATTTCAATCCTGAAAAACCCACAGAGGATGTTTATTGTGAGCCCAGTGCCTGGGAGGGTGTCAGGAGGGTTTTCCCAGCCCAGCTCACCTGATGGATGCTTGGGAGCTGGTTGTGACCTGCAGCAGGTGCTGCAGAGCCACCTCCGCGTTCTGCTTGACCGCGGCCAATCCCTGGCCCGCCCGCAGCGCCTCGTTCTCCAGCCTGGAATTCCTCAGCTCAGCCTGGAAGGAAGGGGCAAAATCCGTGTGAAACAACCCCAGAACTCCAGCAGATACTCTACAGCTAATGGATGCGTTCACACAGCAGTTTATGGGTGTGGAATGTAATAATTAACTAACACAGAGATAGCGAATACAATAAACCAATATGATAAATAGTGACTAGATCCCATAACCAGACTGCCTGGAGGGAGTGTCTTCCAGAACCACAGAATCATTAGGGCCTCTGGATGTATCCAGTCCAACCCCTTTGCCAAGGCAGTGTCACCTGGGGCAGGTGACACAGGAACATTTCCAGGTGGGTTTGGATGTCTCCAGAGAGGGAAACTCCATGCATTTCCTGGACAGTTTGCTCCAGGGCTCTGCCACCCTCCATGGAAAGAAGTTCTTCCTCAGTTTCTGGCCATTGCTCCTCATCCTGTAACTGGGCACACCACTGAAGAGTCTGGCACCATCCAGGCCCTCACAAACCTTTACTGAACCTGAAAACACACCCAACATTTTCCTCAGAGACTGCAAAACCTGTGCAATATCCTTTCCACTGGTTCAATTCTGAGATGCATCCCTGCAGCCCCAGCAATGCTGCTCTGTACCTGGAGCTGTGCATTTTCCTGTCTCAGTTTGGCAGCGCTGTTCTCAGCTTTGGCAGCCCGTTTCTGCAACAGAACAGAGATTACTGAAACCACAGCGTGCTGAGGATAAATCAGGCAGCTTGAGCTACGTGGGAATGAGTGATTCCAGCACAGAACTTGGAGGGATATGGTTTGTGTTACACCGTGCCATGTTCTGAATGTTTCAGAAGGTAGGAACAGCTCCCTCCTTCCTTCCTCACTGCTCCTTTCTGGGATCTGCAGAACCTCCCCCCCCTCACAGGGGACATTTTCTTCCTGATATCTGATCTAAACCTAAAGCCATCTCTTACAGTCATCAGCTGGAGATTCTGCTCCACATGCTGCACTATTGCTTCCAAATCCTGTGCTTCTTTTTCTTCTTTGATTTTGTTTTCCTCAAGCTTCTTCTCAAGCTCCCTCATTCTAAAATAAAATAAGAGATGGCACACAATAAGCATCTGTACCATTAAATACTTTAGTAAGGAAATTCTGGGGAAGGATCAAGAATCTCATGGTTTCATGTTATAAGGAAATTTAATTATTCTCACGCACTTGTCTGCTTGAGTTTCAGACAGAATCTGAAGCTTATTGATCTTGCTTCTTAAAATAGCATTCTCTTCTTTTAGCTAAAAAAAAAGAAATAAAAAATTATTATTAGGATTGAGGTGCATTTTCACAACATGACCAACAATCCAAGATGAGTAACAGAATATTCAGCTTTAATACTGGAAATCCTTGCACTTTCTAATACATTCAAGCTTAATTTTACCTTCAGTTTACCCATCTGGAAACCACTGTGGGGCACAGGAACGTGGCACTGAACCACCAGTGCAAATGTGACTAACTAATGTTAAATAAACATGACCTGAAGGGGCAGGAGCACGAGGAAGTCACCCGGGTCATGCGCAGGGCAGCAGGACAGAGAAAGTACCGGACCTGCTCATGTTGAAAAGCACATTTCCAGCCTTAATTCTGTTCCTCAGCATCTCTCGGTGGCAGCAGGCTGTGAGGCCGAGCTGTGTAAGAGCCCAGCGCCCGGCTCGGAGCTGCTCTGCCTGAGGAAGGTGCCGGGGGGGCGGGCAGCGCTCACCTGCTCGTAGCTCGGCTGCCCCGGGGGGAGCGGGGCCGGCTCCGGGGGGGCTCCGAGCGGGGCCGCGCTCAGGTGGGCCTGCTCCACGGCCAGCGGCTGGTAGCTCTCGCTCCATTCCTCCTCCTCCTCCTCCTGCTGCTCGTCCCCCGACTCTGCGGGCAGCGCGGGCACGACGGGCCCGGGCCAAGCCGCCTGCGGAGGGGACAGCGGGGCTGAGGTGAGCGTCTTGACGCGAGGGATCCCGGCCGCGCTGCCGCCCAGGGCCTTACCTGCGTGCCGCCGCGGGACTTGGAGCGGACGAACTCGCAGAAGGAGAAGGGGTTGGGCTCGGCCGGGGCCCCCGGCAGCGGTTCCGCCACCGGCAGCGGCGGCGCCGCCATGGCCGCCTCAGAGCGGGGCGGGGCGGGGCCTCCCCTCGGTGCGGACCAATGAACGCACGGCTGCAGCCGCCGCGCCCAATCGCGGCCCCGCCCTCGCCCCGCCCCCGAGGCGCAGCCCCGCCCCCTGACCCCGCGCTCCCGGTGGCGGCAAGATGGCGGCGGCCATGGCGTGGCTGCGGCGCGGTGCCTGCGGCCCGGCCCGGCGGTGAGCGCGGCCCCGGCACGGCGCGGGGGGGGGCACGGCGCTGGGGACAGCTGCGGGGAGGGGCCGCAGCGCTCGGGACCCGGTCTGGGCGGGGATCGACTCTCGGTACCGGCGTTGGCGGAGCACGGTGCGGCCGCAGCCCGTGACGGTGTCTCGGTGTCCCGCAGGTGCGGGCTGGCGGCCGGCCGGAGCTACAGCGGCGGCGGCGCGTACCCCAGCGTGTCGCTGACGTGCCCGCTGCCCGGCGTGCCCAAGGCCGTGTTCGCGGCCGCCGAGAGCCGGGAGCGCTTCGAGACGCGGGTGACGGTGCTGGAGAACGGGCTCCGCGTGGCCTCCCAGAACAAGTTCGGGCAGTTCTGCACCGTGGGCAGTGAGTACCGGCCGGGCCCGGGGACACCGGTGTCACCTCAGCTCCCCCCGAGCCGCGGCTCTGCTTGTGAGGACTGAGGGTGTGTGAAAGTCCTGCTGGTTTATTCTCTTCTTTCCCCCAGTTCTGGTAAATTCGGGATCAAGACACGAAGCGAAATACCTCAGCGGGATCTCCCACTTCTTGGAGAAACTGGCGTTCTCTGTGAGTGCTGCCCTGGGCTCCCCAGATGTGCAGGGGCAGTGGGGGAGAGCAGCCAGGGAGGGCCTGACCCGCAGGGCTCTCTGCACTTGAGCTGTTAAAAACAGTGCTGACAACATTGATAGAGCCACAGAATCTTAATTGCTCACTAATTATCGTGACTATATTAATGGTTGTAGTTATATTTTGGAGGTCTTTGTGGTTTCACCTCCAAGGCCGGCGTGTAGTGATCAAGCTATTTGACTGAAAGAATGTAGAAGATGCTCTAGGTTACACTGAAGGGTTATAAACAGTTGTTGCTTTACTAATCAATAACACTGGTATCTTCTTCCTCAGTCCACAGCTCAGTTTGGCAGCAAAGACGAAATTCTCCTCACCTTAGAGAAACATGGAGGCATTTGTGACTGCCAGGCATCGAGGTGGGGTGCTGCTTCTCCTGCTGTTACCTGGGTGTTGTAGTACTTTGAATCTCTTTCTGGCGTGGGGCAAGAAAAGCCACGTTTTATTTCTAAGCATTAGAAATCTGTTTGTGCTGCTGGGAAGCTACAAAAGTGGGCCTGAAAGTGCTATAAAATTCAGATGTATTTCATTTCAGAAGCATTTGATGATTAAAACAGCTTAATCTGTGATTTCCTGATACTGAGATGACACTGAATGACCCCAGAAATGACTTCTCAGCGCAGAACCTGGTTTTTGTGTTGCAGGGACACCATCATGTATGCAGTGTCTGCTGATGCCAGAGGCCTGGACACCGTGGTCAATTTGCTGGCTGATGTAACACTCCAGCCCAGGTTATCAGGTCTGGAAACACAATCCTCTGCCTCAAAAAAAACCCACATTTCCAACACGTGGCTTGCTCTTAAGAGCTCAGAATTCTCTCAGAAGTGACCTTGCAGCAGCTGGGTGTTTTGTGGAGGGGTTGCCATCCTTTGCTTTGTTTCATTGCAGATGAAGAAATTGAGATGACCCGAATGGCCATAAGGTTTGAGCTGGAGGATCTGAGCATGAGACCTGACCCAGAGCCTCTCCTCACAGAAATGATCCACGCGGTAACACACTGGGAATTCCACCCTGCACGCAGCCTCCTGCTGCATTAGAGAAACCTCACGGGTTTTTGGCTGCTTCAGGGTTTATTTTAGGCTGTTCTAAAACCAGATGTTTTCTTATTCAGTTTCTGTGGTGGGAGAATTTGGCTGTCTCTTTGAAATCCAGCATTCTCCACATGTGGAAGATTCTAACCCAAACTAAAAAATAACTATCTGTAACTTCCTTTTGTTGATGTGGGTGACAAAATGTTACTGAGTTGCACTGACAATAGTGAAATAATGCTCAGCTTTTCCTCTCTCAGACGTGGGTTAATTCCAAAGCAAAAAGAGGTTTAGAGAGGGGTTTGGGGAAAAATGAAGTGATCTTTGTGATTTTAATGTGTCTGTTCCCTTTTAGGCAGCCTTCAGAGACAACACAGTGGGACTGAATAGGTTCTGCCCCGTGGAGAACACGGACAAAATCGACCGGGACGTGCTGCACTCATACCTGAGCAGTTACTACACCCCAGACAGGATGGTGCTGGCTGGGGTGGGGATTGAGCACGAGCACCTGGTGGAGTGTGCCAGGAAATACCTGCTGGGGGTGCAGCCCGTGTGGGGCTCTGGGCAGGGCAGGGCCGTGGACAGGTCCGTGGCTCAGTACACCGGAGGCATCATCAAGGTACATGGTGGAGGTGGCATCCAGCACCTTGCTGGGATTTGCTGATTTCTCTACAGGCTTTTGCTTTTCTTAAGTTACATTTCATGAGTATGAGCCCAAACTGGCTGTGATAGCTGTTAATTGGGTGGCATGGTAATTATTTGGAATGATTCAAACTGGGTGCAACAGCTGTGAAAATTGGTGTTGATAATTTGTGTGCCTTTCCCACAGGTTGAAAAAGACATGTCAGATGTGAGTCTGGGCCCTACTCCCATCCCAGAGCTCACCCACATCATGATTGGGTTAGAAAGCTGCTCGTTTTTAGTAAGTATTAACCTAAAATCTTCATTTTGCATGCCCTGTACTTGGAGACTCCCAGGAACACTGATTCCTTACACAAACACTGACATTTTTGCTGCTGCACATAAAAACAAGCAGCATTTTCCATGACATTTTCCTGAAGACCTTCACACTGCTTGTGTGCTGTGCTTCACTCACCTTGGGAGCTCTGTCAGTACCTGAGTTTTTTGTTCCCATCCAGGAGGACGATTTCATTCCTTTTGCGGTGCTGAACATGATGATGGGAGGTGGTGGCTCTTTTTCAGCTGGAGGGCCTGGCAAGGGCATGTTCACCCGGCTGTACCTCAATGTGCTCAACAGGTTGGTTTGTCTTGCTGTTTAAGGGGTGGCAGAAACAGTCCTGTAGCAGGTTTACATGGAAAAAAAAGCAAACCCCACCAGTTTTTACATCAGTTTATTCTGCTTGGAACGTGGGACTGGCGTGTCAGTCGGCATTTTGAGAGGGTGAAAGTAAAAGGCAGAAGTGACCAGGAAATTTGTGTTCTTCCACTAGTCCTGTCCATGCTTTAATCAGGGAGTATTAACAGGGTTGGCTCTGTATTGTCCTGGGATTGGTCTCAAGGTGGAGAAAAGGGAGTAGGTGCCACATGCACAAATTGTCAGAGGCAGGGATTGACAAATCTCATTGCACTGCTAAGAATCCTGAAAATGCACTAGGAGGATGCTCACTGTCTGTGTCTTATTTTTACATTGTAAATTCTGGGTTTTAAATTTTAAAATACTGTTTTGTGCACTCACAGGCACCACTGGATGTACAATGCCACCTCTTACCACCACAGCTATGAGGACACAGGTCTCCTGTGTATCCATGCCAGTGCAGATCCAAAACAGGTACTCAAAGACAGGAGTCCTTAAACAGTATCCTCATCACTCAGTACCAGGGAGTTCTGTGGACACAAGGAGCATTGTTCTGATCTTCCTTCCATGATCTGTTTTCCCCAGGTTCGGGAGATGGTGGAAATCATCACCAGGGAATTCATCCTCATGGCAGGAGCAGTGGGAGAGGTCAGTAGCACATTTGAGTTTGCATGTGGTCTTTGAGCTGAAATAATCCCTGGAAGTGTCCAAGGCCAGGCTGGACAGGGCTTGGAGCAACCTGGGATAGTGGAAGGTGTCCCTGCCCATGGCAGGGGGTGCAAGTGGATGAGCTTTAAGGCCCCTTCCAACCCAATGCAGTCTGGGATTCTGTGAATGTGTTGCATTGACTGTGCTAGAATGGATTTTTATAGATAATTTTATTACGTATTTCTGTAAAAGAATACGAAGAGAGAGGTGTCTGCAGAACTTTTCTGTGTTACCTTGTACTACAGAGCAGCAACCAGAATTTTTTGTTTCCTGCTCATTCACAGGTAGAACTTGAGAGAGCAAAGACACAGCTCAAGTCCATGCTCATGATGAACCTGGAGTCTCGGCCAGTGATCTTTGAAGATGTGGGGAGGCAGGTTTTGGCAACAAACACAAGGAAGCTACCTCATGAGCTCTGTGCCCTCATCAGTGAGTAGACAATGCTTTGCCTTGCTGTGAGGGAACTGTAGGTACAGTTAAAACATTCTTGTAGCACTGTTGAATTACCTCTGAAAACCTGGGGGCAAAAATACTACAGAAATACATTTCACACTGAGGTTAATTGCTTTCAAGCTAACACAAGGTTTATTTTAGTCAGAAGGAAGGAAAGATGAGAATCATGGTAGAGAAGATATGGAGTTGGTTTTCTGAGCATCGGCCTAAAGCTGCTTTGTGCTGTTCACAATGGAGGTGTCACAGCTCTGCCTTTTTTCCATCTGCAGGTCAGGTGAAACCCACTGATATCAAGAGGGTGGTGACTAAGATGCTGCATAAGAAGCCAGCAGTGGCTGCCCTGGGTGACCTGACAGATCTGCCCACATATGAGCACATCCAGGCTGCCCTTTCCAGCAAGGACGGGCGGCTCCCGCGGCTCTACCGCCTCTTCCGATAGAGCAGCACCTCCTGCCCGGCCTCAAAACCCCTTCTTTTTTAATGGTTTATTTGTTTTTTTGATTCTCATGTTGCTGTACCACCCTCCCTCCCCCCAATGCTCCCAGGCATTCTGTGCAGCCATGGAGCTGAGCAAAGCTGCTTCAGAGCACTGGACTGTGAGGAGCTCGTGTAAGGAGCCAGCGCTGGCTCTGGAGGAGGAGTTTGACCCTGTGAGTAGGTTACAAGAGAAGATGGGTGTTGACACCCTTCTCTTGGCTTTGGGGAGAGCAGAGCAAGCCAAAACCTTCATCACTACAATGAAAGCACATCTCTGAGCAGTCACTGCCTCTTCATCACCCCAGCAGTGGAAGTGGGGCTGTCACATGAGGCCCCACTGTGCCCTTCCTGAGGAATGTGTGGCACCTTAAACAGCTTGGCTTACATGTCTGAATTCAAAGAATATTTATAACTGTTACCAAGGTGAGCAAAGACTTGGTCAAACTGAATTAGGAAAATAATAGTTACTGTCCCTGTGAAGTTAGGCAAAAAGTTTCCTGCAATCCAGATTTTGTTACAAATCACGGATCCACTTCATCAGTGTAATTCACCATCTGACAAGGAGTCACCCATCTGGGAATAACTTCATCATCTTGCTAGAGCCCCAAGGAAACCCATGACAGAACCAATTTTCTGTGGAGTTCCTCTGCAGAAGTACTGTACATAATGGACACTTGAGAATGAGATCAATCTCTTTAGGTTTTTCACTTGGACATGAACTGTGCTAAAGAATAAAAGTTCTTTTCCTGCAGAGTTGCTATACAAACAGTTATTAAAGGAGTTGTTGCTGCTGCACCTTAAACTCGTGCCTCATTTCCTCAGTGTCACCCAGATGGACTTAAGGCCTTGCAAAAAGAAGACGCAATCAGTCTCACAGCAGAGATGTGGCTCAGCTGGAAGTCAAGATAGCAAAATCACAACATTTAGAAACATGATCTTGACTGACACCACCTCACAGAAAGCCAAGTGCCACACGTGTGACATGCTGAAGAAATGGAGACTCAAAAGAGGAATAAAACACTGGATTTCTATAATCCCCTAATACATGGATTTAAAAATACAAGACAGCTGCATTGCAGCTCTTCACTGCTAGATGTGTATGGTAAGGAGCAATCCAGTTGGGAGTGGAGCACTGTGAGGCTGCTGTTACCTGCTTTATCCCATCCTTTCCTCGTGCAACTCAAAACGTTGCATTGCTTCCTGCAGAGCCCACAGTGTGGAAGTCCTGTTCAGTTGTTGTGTATGCTTGTGAGGAAATAAAGAGACCTCTGAACAACCAGGGCAAGTAGTAAGAGTTCTGAAATTCATCTGCCAAGGGTTTCCTGAACAGGCAAGTGGAGAATGCTTTGTTCAATGCAAATGATTACAGAGAAATCTGTCCCACCCCTCCAGCTGAAGACAAATGGCCCAGGTCACCCAGTCACACACCATGCAAAGAACTCTGGTTCTGACAACAATAAAAGCTGATTCTCAGTTAAGGTATTGCATTAATTTATTTTTATTCCTTTAAAAAGAAAGGAAATCCAAATACCTGATGGCTACAGACAGGTCAGTGCCATAAATGTACCGCAGAACAGGAGCCTGTCTTGGACAGGTTGCATAGTCAGCAGCACTTCCTCCAAGGTGTTTGCATGATGTTTTAGGTCCTAAGGTGATTAATGATCCCATCTGTGCCCATGAGGAGCTCTTAATTATTAGCTGTACTTAACATTTTACCAGTGCCATACTGGTCCTTGAAGTATATATAGCCTTAAGACAACACTACTTCAAAAATAGCAAGTTATTCACAGTTTACTGATCTGGAAAAATAAAACCAAAAGGAATTGACTGTGATTGGAGGTAATGGAGCTGTGTGGAGCTGAGTGGCTGCAGTTGCCCTGCACATCTCCCTGGTGCACTCACTAGGCATCACTTTGGTGAAGCATCACACAGTGCCTGTTCTCAGATAAATTCCAACTGCTGCTGCTGCTGAAGGCAGGTAGTGCTTAATCAGCCCTGGGGAGGACAAGTGAGCTCAGGAAGGGATTGCTTCAAGCAGTCTCAGCAGACAAATATATGGCCTGAGAGTTTGGTATTTACCCCCTTAGTAACAGAAGGCCTATAGAATGATTATTGAAAGGCAATGTTTCTACACATCAATGTACAGGAGTACATTCACACACAATTTGCTGTAGAGGACCCAAAAAGCCCAGCACAGGAGCACCATCCTTACACAGAACTGCCATGAACTGGTCCCTGTTACTCCTTGTACAGAATACCAACACTTGGCTACAGAGAAGGAAAAAACCCAGCCCCACACTGGATGGACATTAATCTGACCAAACCAAAGATACAAACAAAGAATTCTCCTTTCTGCAGGCTTTTCTTAGGTCCCCTGCCCTGGGTGATGCCAGTTCCAGCAGCTGTGCCCCTGCATGGAGGGAAACCAAGGGTCTGCACCCAGTGGCTTCCTAAGATAGTCTGCTTAAAAATAAATCCATTACACCAGTTGGGATGGATGTCTTAAATAACTGACTCCTTTTCTTCGGCAGAAGCACTTGAGCTACATGGATTAGCTCATGCAAATGAATCCAGGATGAGGTTTAAGACATTCTTCACAAGCCACAGCAACTGCCAGAGGTGCTTATGCAGACAATTCCCTGCACTTTGCCATGGCCTGAAATCCTCTTTTGGGGCACCTCTACCACAAGCACTGCAGAGCTTTCAGCTCAAGAAATGCTACATATGCTGCTGGATCTTTGGTCCTTTTGTTCGCGGCGTTTCAGAAGTTCCCTTGTAGCCCGCCTCCTTATTCCGATTAAATACAGATCTCTGTCAAACAGCCCTGCAGCCAGGGGGATGCTGCAACAGGAACACAAGGGTCAGGGCATAAATATGTTCTTGTTTGCCCAGCATTTCCCTACTACTTCATACAACAAAGGCCACAAACCTGATTTTTACTTTCTTAAGGCATTCAGCTACTGCTGAATTCTACAGAATTCTTCTGTGGGAGAAACAAGAGTTGTTCTTCCACAGCAACAAGTTAAGGTTTTCCACAATACTTTAAAATGCTGGTTTTAAAAGGGAAATGTACTTCTAAATTTTAGCATGAACTCGCCTGCTTTAATATATATAGAGGACTTTCTTAATGATTCTAAACTAAAGCCCATTCATTTGAAAAGCTAAACCAGGCTACTGCTAACTTGGTGTATTCCCTGGTGTGGTTCAAGTCAACAATTCATACCTTGGTCTGTTTTAGAGAGGCCAGAGGAAACCTGAGCAGCCCATCACACACTGCTATTTAATGGGTATTTAAGACCCAGAAACAAAAATTCCCATTGCAATTGCACTGCTCATCAAATACTTGGAGAAATCACTTTTCTAGATATTCAGGTCTTGAAATCTCTGGCTATATAACTCATAAAAAATAGAATAATTCCAAACCAAATTTTCTAGGGAGTTCTACTAATACAACAGCCTACAGTAGGACATTAAGAACTTGGAGGATCTCAAAATACTCCATTGACATCCAGCTGTGCTGAACTGCAGCCACTACTGGGGAGGGAAAACAGAACCGATCCTAAAGAGGGCAAGAGGAAAAGAAGAGGAAAGCTGCCCATGCTGATAGGGAAAACAAAGAACTGCATCTCAGATAAAACACAGATTTATGTTCAATTCCAGTGGGCTCTGTTTATCCCCCTCAGAAGGATTAAGGGACCTGGCAGCAGGGATTTCAGCTGTCAGTGCAAGGTTTAAGCTCTTACAGCTCTGACCACCAGCATGTGGTGGGTAAAGCCCAAACAGGCTGCAGGGATAGACACGGGAGAATATCCTCGGCATCACTGGAGCCATGAGCAATCAAGCCATGAGCTGCAGGAGGTACTCACTTGTCTCTGCCAGGCCTCACTTTCACACGAAACAAGGCAAACACAGGCCGGTGGTCCGAGGTTTTGATGACAGGACAAGAGGAATATTTGACAGCCTGGATGTCATCCTTGTAGCGGCTGCGGAACACGACTCGGTCCTGGAGGCAGGGAGAGAGGGAACAGTGGTGGTGACTCTGCACATCATCCACCCTGGAAAGCAGCACTGGTTCACAAGAGACAGATCCATTATCACGCTCCACTTAATGAAATTAATGTGTCCTTTAATGGGGATCCATTCCTAAGTGCCTGATCCCAACAGTTGTTCTGTGCCAGCTCTGAGCACAGGGAAGAGCCCACTCAGGGTGTAAGGCAGGGAAAATAAAGTTAGCAGCCTGTGCCAGACTCTCCCCGTGCTCACAAATTCAACAATCCTTTCTTCCAGAAATCTCAGCACAACTGAATACTGAAATCATCTCTTACCGTGTAGGAAGGAGTCCTTTGTTTGGAAGTGGTGTCATAGCTGTCCTTTCCTATGTCAAACTTGTAGGAAGGACGGAAATGGATATCAGCCTCTTGGAATCCTTTGAAAATAGACCCTGTAAGGGAAGGGGAGAACAGCATGAACAAACTCCTCCCTCCTGAGAACTGGGAACTGTGTCTACTAATGCTGGCTAGAAACAACAGCAATGTACATCCCAGAAAAACCTGGGCTTGGGCTCCAGAAAGGGAGCAAGCTCCATTCCTGACATGGAGAGGATAAAAATTAGCCAGTGGCTGTTTAGTCAGTGGTCAATTAAACTAAGAAGATCTGGTCCATGCACTTCCCCTTCCAATGAAAGCTCGTGCTGCTTTGCAAATGCTGTTCAAACCTAAATTCCCTGGACACTGGGACAGAATGATGCCCAGGTTATGGAGGAGTCAGATGAAACAGCAGCAAATGGCTTGGGAGGTTACATTAAACACAACAAACTGCTACAGCAAAAGGTCCCTTGACACACTGCCAGTGTATTTGACAACTGCTGACTCTCTTTTTTGGGAATTTAACCAAAGAAAGCAGGAAAGGTCTCCAGGAAATGGGGACTGGGCTGACATTACTCCTGTGTGCAGGTATCTTTGTTTCTGGAGAGGATGGAGATAAAGAGCTGCCCCTTACCCCGACTCATCTCACTGGTCAGCTGGTCATACATCAGGAGCTTGGACACGTCTGTGCCCGGGTTCTGGTTCAGGATGGAATCCACAGTCTCCCGATCCTTATTCAGCCGGAAGTTGAAGTCACCAAACCAGAAAACTTCATCAAACCGAGTTGTGACATCACCTGCAAATTCACACCACGACTGTTCAAGGGATGCTGCTGAATGTGTTTGAGGAACAGGAAGAAATTTCTTTTTGCTACCTGGAGATGTGATATTGAGTATGTTTTCTACCTGTGATCACCACTAAATGTGGGAATTAACAACCCAGGAGAAAACAGAACAGAAATGTTAAAAACCATAGAAAAAGCTGAAAAGAGACCGAACTATCTATAGGACCTAACACCAGAGGGAACACAAAAAGCTAATGCTACACTGCATTCAATTTTCTAGTAAAAGGAACTAATTATTTATCTAGACATCAAGTTGTCAGTGCAGTATTAGGAAACAATAATGGACTTTGGCAAACAATGCTCTGATCTGTGTACATGCAAAGTGACATAAGGTTTATTCTCTAAAATTTTGAAATAAAGTAATTCCTAATTGTTCTAGAAAACACATGGAAAGTGAACCACATCTGTAATATTCATAATTAAATCAAAATTATCATATTGCTAAAAAAATACATCACATAAAAAATCCCTTCTGAATTTTCTCTCTCCCATTTCAATTTATTTTCTCGAATTCCTAATTTCAAGAAAGAAAAAATAAATCATGGAAATAATAACCATCTTCAGAAAAAAAGACCTGTAGTCTCTTTTTTTCACAGTGTCAAATTATCACTCTTGTCTCTTTCTCAGTGCAGACTGAGAGACAATGCACAGACTGCTGATCTGGGCTCCCTCATGCTCATGGTTTCACACTTACTAGAACTGGATCGATACGGATTTGTGTCCGGAACATTCTTGGGAAGTGTAAGGGCTTGAATGGTTTTATTGTAGTCCAGCTTCCTCTCATTCACTTTACTGTCCCCAGCTGCAAGACAGAAACCCCATTACTGCCAACAATGAATCATTTTCATTCAATGACCATTTCTGGTTATAGTAGGAGCTTCCAAAGGGTATCAGACATTTTCCACAAGTAAAATTTGACACCGGGATTGTCTGCACTGAATAATGATGGCAGAAAGTGTGGGAAAAGGGATACAATGGTGCAGAGTTAATTTCTGTTTCCATAAGCACAGTTCTTTGGTAAGTTTGTTACTAAACAAACCTCCTTCCCTTATCCTTCTCAGCTCAGCAGTCCTGAGCTTTGGCTTCAGTCTGTCCTGCTTTTTTCACCTCTGTACAACTCCTTCCCCTCCTCCCTCCACCAGGACACTCCTAGCAAGATTGCAAATGTCTCACAAGTGAAGTGAGAGGTGATGAAGAGAAAGGAGGTCCCAAAAAACGTGAAGCTGATTCCAAGAGCTCCCTTGGTTTTGATCTGAGACACGATTCGAGT